CAATTCTCGAACCTCTTGGATGTTTTATATTTATCACGGAATTCGTTGATTAGGTAGTGTGATTGAATGCTTTGGAAGCGCGCGAAGGTGCGTCTCACTGAAAATCTGCAGATATTTTGGTGGCAAACTTCACCATAACTTGCTACGGCGATGGCAAACCGGTCAAGGCTCAGGCACAGTTTTCCGTGGGCATGCCCGAAGTTTTTGAGTGGAACACGCTGAATGTGACCTTAAAGCAAGCTACCAACTGCCAACTTTCGCTGCGTGTCACACGAGGATATGGCACAAATGGCGCCATTGCCATAGGAAAAATCCGGACGAAGTCAGGTATGAGTGATCTGTTTGCATATTAATCAAACAAATAATATCGCTCATTATAATCCTATCTCAGCTATGCTTTCTTCTATTTATACTGACCGAAGTCACTGAATGCTGTGTTCTCTCATTTGCTTATTGATTTCGCTTGTTATTAACTATATCCTTAAATAAAATCTTGATGATTGATTTGATTTGTGGGGTTTAACGTCCCAAAACCACCACATGATTATGAGAGACGCCGTAGTGGAGGGTTCCGGAAATTTAGACCACCTGGGGCTCTTTAACGTGCACCCAAATCTGAGCACACGGGCCTACAACATTAATTAAAATCTTGTAGTGCTATGATTGACGAGAATAGAACTGAGAATGGCAGGATGATCATAATATTTTAGCAGTCCTCGTAAAATATGCAGCACTGCAATAGTTTGATTAGGGATGTTTAACCAAACAGCCCCGCAAAGTGTTTTGTTATGGACTATATATAAAAGGTTATTTCTGGCAGTTGATTTTTTATATTTTGTCGAATGCACACTTAGATATATCGCAATACAGAGTGCCAAACCCCATTTAAACAATACAAGAATACCGATGCAGAGAGTCGACACAGCACTTGCACACCACAAGCGTATATTGCGTTACCTATTTTCCCAAAGGTACGCCCACAGTTATCAAGGTATACAAGCTAAAGAAGTGAAATTGCGTAGTGACCATGATGTGGAAAGAGCACCAACTGGACCATGTAAGGTTCTAAAGAACTTTATTTAGAATTAATTAAGGTCAAGCTCATGGTCAGTGTGTAAAGAGCTTTCTTATTTTATAGTTCTAATAAGTTTACTTGCTGTTCCTGTATTTACCTAGCGCCTAAGGCTTCTTACCACCTTGTCCTCTTCTTCATAGCACTTCTCCTAATACTACCACTACTATTACTACTAGTACTACTACCACAACTATTACTACTACTACTACTACTACTACTACTACTACTACTACTACTACTACTAATGAAAATGAAGGAACGTGTAAGTTTTACAAGTTTTCTCAGTAAACACAATATATTGAGAACTCGCAGACATCGTTGACTGTTAGTTTTACTAGTAATAGTAGTACCAGTTATAATTTAGAACTTATAAGTGCGCGTTGTTGCTACTGTTTGATTAAGAGTGAATAAACTGTATGTAAGGCTATCAAGCAATTAAGAGGATTGCACTTGTGCGTGGGTTTCATGACTAGCAGCCGCAACGTAGTGGCACGATGCTAAAATCAAATGCGGATGTCACAGTTTATGTATTCTGCGGCTTTTTTGTCATTACCTAAATGACTCTAAAAACACAGTTTAGCGCTAACCAGACTACTAACAGGCTGTTCACTTCATTAGCCAAATATGCTTTCTTCCTTCCAGCTGTTACGCAAGTACAGGATTCAGACTCAGCCAGTGAGTATACGATTTTACTTCATTATTTTTATGTTTCGAACATATCAAATGCATCATCGAAAATGATCAGCGAATCTGCATTGGAAGAATAAGCCACGGTGTCATACTAATCTCAGTCACAGCTTTCAGAATTCATACATGTATGTTTTTTTTTCGCATTCATTCTATAAGTCTGTACGCTCCATAGTCCCAAGAATGCACCAATTAAAAAAGGTTCTGCAAACTGTATAATTTGTCATTCTGCCCTTAAAAAGAAACGCAAATTATTATCAATCCGTAAAATTGAATGGTTGCTTGAAAATGTGGCGGTATCAATTTGCGTATTTCTGTTCTTTTTAAGGCTCTAATATTGAGTGAAACAAAAATACCAGACAAAAATGACTTTCACTATGATATACTGGGCGTCCAGAGTTAAAGAAATGTACTGATGACGTTGTCAGTCACACTACAACAAAGAAAAAAGTTTTTTTCACTTATTACAAGGATGCAGCGGAGAGCTGGTGCAGTCCGCACCCATACGCACGTGCAGTACTCAGTCATTTTCATTTGCTTGTTTTGCAAGTATGAGTAGACACACGGTGCCACCTCTCAGGGCTTCGTGAAAGCAACTAATTATTGTTGTGCTAACACAAATTTGGCCATGCGGATATCGAGTTGTGATAACAACGGTACACAATTGGTTACCCGCAAACCGAGCAGGATACATATGGGTTTAAAAAAAGTCAACATTAACATAATGGAAACATTTTATCAGAAAACAAAGGTGATGATAACACCAGAACATAAGCGAGAAAAGTGCTTCAGGACACCTATAGACAATGATATTGCAAGTGATGCGACTTGTGGTTCGCAAGCCACTGCATGATTTCGAAGCCCCTTAAGTTTTCTGATAACAAAAAAAAACATAAAATTTTTGCTGCGGTCTCATTCGATAAAAAAGTGTTTCAAAGTACCTTTGTGGTCACCGTAGAATTTGGCATTAGAATTTATGAATTATTAATGTGTTTCTTCTCTTTTCCACACTTTTTCGAATATATTTTAACTACGCTTTAGTAAGGACCATGATGACTAAAGTGTGGCTTAAACTGTATTTTAACACGTCGTGTGGGCTACCGCGTGATATGTGACACCAGCGGTATACATCAACTTACTACGTTGTCCCAATGGTGCAATGAAGGTCCGAAAAACCAAACACGATGGCCAGGCTCAGGGGCTTCGTTTGGACAGCACGCTATTATTATTATTCAAATCACAAAGATTTCTCATATTTGTATCAGATATTCAATTGCGGTGCCTCCGACAACCAGAGAAAAAGTTTTCACTCTCATTCACTGAATATTGTGAAGCTTAAAGCTTATAAAGAAGTATCATTATTACAAAAAAATAGCCAACTATTTTGCGCCCATTGAAATTAAAAAACAACAACTTTAAGTTCAAGGTCGCAACAGTCCACAATCACGCTTCTTTCGTGTGAAATTGTTCACACAGGAATCCAAAGAAGTACATACGACGTTGGGCCAACATTGCGACAGGTACCAACTTTCCAGTGGTTGCACCAATGTCAGCCTAAGCAGATCAATACAGTATTGGTATGGCTACCACAGGAGTATATGTAAGCAGCATTGACGAAGCTCCTCCAATCAGTGCACAAATCATGTGGCTTGACAGGCCATCTTCTACCACTTTCTTCTTGTCAATGTTCACCACGCAGTATAATTGTTTCACTTCCAAAATATTGTGTTCAACGTTTCCGTGAACTACAGAACACCCCATTACGTCCTTGTTGAAGTTCTCGACCCTTCCGTTTAAGCTTCAACCGCAGCGGCCACGTCATGGCTAGTACTGGCGTTGATTTGGAAACATTAGAGGAAAACAAAAAAAAATCGGCGAATCCCACGTACCTGGGAATCCACGTTATGCGAAGCATGCGCAAGAAAGGTGACCGTGTTGCAATTTTTTTATTCAGCAACAAGTCATGAAATGACCCACATATAATGTACAAATGTCACACACACAGACTAGTTGAATAATTGCATTTCTTTATGCAACCAGTTGCTTGCACTTGGCAACAATGCCAACTGGAAAATGCGTATCAGCAACACCAGAAGCTTATATGAAGCGCTGATGCTCGAGAAAATGCTTGCCCTGGACACTGCTACATAAATCAACTTCAGAGCATGGCAACTAACCACATCTGACGTTAACCCGACGTGACGGCTGTATCATAATAGTACTGTGATGTGTATGCCGGGTCGAGCACTTCCACTACTGTGCAGTGGCGCAGGAAACAGACAGGGATATGTGTTCACCTGTTTATATACAAAAGAATACATATGAAAAGTCAGTGATGTGGGCGCCGTCGGGAAGACCACCACGGCACATGAGGAAGAAGAGTCCTGTTGGCTCACGACTCTCGAGCAGCGGTGGCGTCGTCTAGGAGATGCCTTGACTAGCGCGACCTCAGGACCTCGTTTACGAGCTCTTGATCACCTCCCGGACGTAGCGGCTCCACGTGTGGGTTCTGGCCAGCACAGCACCGTTTGTGCCGTGCTGAAATGCTGCTCGCCACAGCTGCGGTGTGGCAGCTCAGTCAACGGCGTTCCTCGCCTTGGCCAGGGCACCGTCAGGTACCCTCAGGTGCACAGCTCATGAGCTCGTGGCCCACGTCCGAGTCTGGTGCGTCACTCGGTACGGCTCGGCACCGCTCGGCGATCGTCGATGCAGCCAGCAACTCTCCTGGCACCTGGATCCTTGGCCACCCTGGACCTCGCCCGGCTCCGTGGTCCTCCAGTGCGCACGCCTGCGTCTCGCCCGGCAAAACGTCTCGCTCGTCCTAGCTCAGAATTGCACGCCCGGCCAATGGAATTCTTCTGGAAACCTATCAAATGTTCAGTTTAATACCTTGGTGAGCTGCCATAACTCCCTCATGCTGCCATCCTAAGGATAAACTGGCGGAGGCTTTGCGGAACAACCAGTTGGTCAACTTCCTTCTTCGTTAGCGATCTGTATACAGTGTCGATGAAGTATTCCCTTATAGCAAAACATACTCTATGTTTGCTGATCGCGTCGCCTATCGTCTTCCAGATCGCCGAAAAACAGCTTTCCAAGGTGGAACTTTCTCTCTGCAACTTTTCTGGAACTTGTGGGGTCACATCTAGTTCGTTAGATGCCACCACAGGTAACTTCATGTCCCTGGTCCTTCTCGTGTTCGCTGCACTCAAAGTCGGTAGGTTCGGTGACACGCTTGGATATGGAGCAGGCTCCCCTGCTGGTGCCGACTCCTTATGCAGTCTTGCGACATCCGACAGGTGATGTGACGTGGTAGAACCAGAAAGGAAGATTACCCCGTCAATGTTTCCGAGAACGACATCATAGAGTGGCTTTTCCATGCAGAGTGCCAGTGTCGGTCCTCGGAAGAACGGAGAGTCGATGTATACCTTTGCCTCGGGAAGCTGCCTCGACTGACCGTCGAGAAAGTGTACAGTACGTGGAATACCGGTGATATTCCTTTGCGGTACCAGCGAACGCTTGACCACCACGGTATTCCATCCCGAGTCCCTTAGCACCATCACAGGCTGTTCCTCGAGATATCCGGTTGTCGTTGGCATCTCTTGTCTTAGCAGACCAAGACAAATATCTCTTTTTTCTATGGTGCATTTTCCTCTGCCGATGAAGAGGTACAATCCAAGTTCTCCTTGTTTCGAGCAAAAGGTGTACGGTCATAGTCGGCAACAGCACTTGACGCCTCCTTGTTGTGGCTCTTTACATTTGGGCACTCGTCTGCTTCATGGCCGTGTTTCCTGCACTTCCAGCAAGACGAGGGCTTCGGGCCTTTTGACCGCGTCCAACAGTTTTCAGCGCGATGACCTTGCTTGCTGGCTCGCCATATATTGTAATGAAACATATTCTTTATCGGTGCTAAGGTTCGTCAGAGCTTGTTTTGCGTGTCGTGCGAGGAGAAATGAACTTTGAGATGACGCGGTAGCAACACACACCACGTTTATGAAAGAGCACGAAAGAAAAACAGAGAACACTGAGGCAGAGAGGGTACATACAATGCAACAGAGAGAACTAAGCTTGATTAAAAAATGACCAATTAGAGTTCAAGTATGACCGTTCGAAAACCTGAGGGCCAGATTACGGTGCGACAGGCGCCGATGAAATGCGGGGCAGGAGGCGGTGGAAAGGCGTTATGGAATGCGCTCACTTGCCGATGTGCGACACTCTAGTTACGCTGGCGCTATCTATCTATCTATCTATCTATCTATCTATCTATCTATCTATCTATCTATCTATCTATCTATCTATCTATCTATCTATCTATCTATCTATCCATCTATCTATCCATCTATCTATCTATCTATCTATCTATCTATCTATCTATTAATCTATCAATCTATCTATCTATCTATCTATCTACCTATCTATCTATCTATCTATCTATCTATCTATTGATCTATCAATCTATCTATCTATCTATCTATTTATCTATCTATCTGGCCACTTAGGACTTTAGCTGTCCTTGTCGTTTTGATAGTGCTATCGATACCGAAATTAGTGTGGCATAACATGACTGTTTGACAAGCATAGTTTACTAGTCATAACATTAAAATTATCACATGTATGTGTAATGTCAAGACTTACATTTCATGGTCTTGCTGCTCTTGCGGGGTTTTGTTCACATGACGTTTTGAAAAACTGGGATGGTATGACCTGACTGCATAGCTAATATCTGTGACATACCCTAACATGGAAATTATAACATACATATCAAGATATATATATAATATGACTAGTTATGACAACACGCCACGCTCATTGTGCGCTCGCGGTCGTTTCGCTTGCTTCACGTATAACAAGTTTGGTGTTACGGGACTTGAATAGATGATGAAGGTGCTTGACTGGTCCAAACATGATAATCATTAGATGCCTGTCACGTAAGAACAACACTACATGCCATGCTCATAGTATGCTCGTGGCCGTTTGACTAGCTTCACATATACCAAATTTGGTGTTACGTGACGTAAGTAGATGACAAATGTATATCACTGGTGCAAACATAATGATCATGACATGAGCGTCATGCAAAACATGACTACATGCCACGCTCATGGTATGCTCGCGGCAGTTTAACTAGCTTCACATGTACCAAATTTGGTATTACGTAGGTGAATAGACGACGAACATAAATGACATGGCCAACCATGATAAATATCGTATGTGTGCTATCTAAAGCATGACCATATACAACGCTCATACTTGGCCCGTGGTCGTTTCGCTCGCTCCACATATACCAAATTTGGCATCACGTGACGTGAATAGAGTACGAAGATAAATGACACGTCCAAACATGATAATCATGGTATGGGCGTCATGTACAGCATAAATGAGGTCCACCTCGTCACGTTTTGCACATTTATAGCGAAATATCAACCTTCCTCATTCGTGCTTTGCGTCTCCTTTATACCCTTAAAACGTGAGATCTGCCAATTTTCGAGTGTTTGCGTTTTCAGATGCACGTACTTCGAGAGAGGCGGGAGATATAGACCCACAGCACGAAAGCAGAGCGTATTCTCGCGTGCGTCTTCTCTTCGTTCTTGTCACTCGATAGTCAAAAGCAGTAACGATTCCAAAATTTTCATTTCTGTTTGATGATTGTACAATGAAACTCGTTAGGCTAGTTGGTTATGCATCATATTGTATAAAAATTGAGCACAACCTTGACTTTTGCAAACACACACGCAGCGTGCAGTGCTGCGGGTCAAGTGTGTTACAAGTGAATATTTGAGTGTTTGGGTGAGTACTTGCGAGAGTCAAGGTTGCGCTGAATTCTTACAGTAGGCAATTGTAGCCTGTGATAATACTGTCACTATGACAATTCTAAATTTGAGATTATGAGAAAAGCCATGTGTTCAGTACTAGAAGCTCTATGACGTAAGTTCTACGCTTTGATTTTGCCGCAGATGTTAAAAAAAGTCACAGCTTTGCCGCAAAGGCGAAGCAATAAACGCAGTAGCAACCAATTGAAAGCTCACACACATAATGGCAACCAGATCGAAACTTGCCCCGTGTTTCTCACGCAGAAAGACGCACGAAACGTACTCACATGTACACATTAACGCGAATTAGCGTCTCAGTCGTTACTTTGATGTGTCTGAAAAGCGCGCCCTTTTCGCAAACGGAGGCTGTACAACGATTGCAGTGACCTTTGGGCTCCTGGTAACTACCACAATATTGTTCCGGCGAAACTAAAAGGCTAGCCAAAGCGTACAATTCTGTCCCTGCAAGATAAGGTGCGCGATCGAGCGTACACTCCCTTATTCTCTACGCGGGCCAAAGTACGTGTGATAGATGAGAGCCGCCACGCGCTCACTGCGCCATCTTGCCGATAATGCTGAAAACAGCATAGTTCCCCCCCCCCCCCCGAGATTCCCGCAAACAGCGGTAAGTGGTAGACATGAATAGCTTGCCGTTTGTAAATTCGAGGAGGTGCCTCTCGGTGATCTATACTCTTCCTATTGCAATGAAAACAAGTGAAGTGCTTGTGCCTTCTATTATGCTTGTATTCTAAATATGTATTTGTGGTACGCTAACGTATTATATCCTATAATTTCAGAATTACGCTGGATTTATGACGTCAAGGGTGTATTTTAAATGTGGTTTTCCTTTTACATTGAAATGCAGACCTTTGCACTTTTGAAGACGGAAGCATGTGTGGTTGGCAGTCGAAAAGCAGCGCACTCGCGTGGACGCTCAACGACCCTTCAAAAAAAGTGCCCGACTACCCACGATTCGACCACACACTTCGAGCATACAGAGGTGAGCATCAAGTCAATAAACATTAAAGCAATCGCCAGCAGTTGGAGACTCGTGCCACACCCCAACCACTTTCAGGAGAGCCAGTATTGTGTGTAGGTCCACAAAACACAGTACAATAATAAAGATACAGAAGCAGCACGACGCTGTAAGTAGTGATATGGGGCATGAAGAAATTATAATTCACGGCTGTGTCAAAATCTTAAAAGAATTACTAATATAAGTGACAGAAAATAAATCAAGACAAGCACACTTGACTTGACGTGTGGCTTTTTAACTGTAGTGTAAATATTGTCACTTAAATAGACCCAGCAGCACTTCTTTAACGAGCCAAGGAATGCAGTGACCAAAGAGTCTTTCGCCTCTCGAAACAACCACAGCTAAAGTTTTGAGGATCCTTCCAGTACGAGCGCATTTACAAAGATTTGTCATCCTTTCGGCGATTGCATTCTTATCTCGTGCCGACGAAAGCGTTGGAAACTACGCAGGGAGGGATGGCATGGTGGAAGCAAATGCGTCACGCGTGGCTCGCGACCTTGAGCATTTTTTATCTTCCTTCTTCGGATGCATGGCTGTTCAGTGGTGCTGTTGCTCGCGCACACGCAGACAATTCATGGCCCCCCGTCGCAGCTGGAGTAAGTACTGAGCGCGCTATGTTCAAATCAGCCTATGACTGACACAATCGCTGTGCTGAGTGATTTTTGAGATTTTTCCGCCATTTGTCGACAGAAGAGAAAGAGATATTTAACTGACTTTTATATTTTATTGTTCGTACTAGGAACGTTAGGGAGAAATAGAATCAGAGCGCACGTAGGTGCGCCAGTAGCTTTGTTACATGATATATTTTATCTCATGGGCATTTGTAGTGAGCAGAAAAACGCCAATTAACAACTGTAAAGATCGAGACTGTCTAATAGGGCGTTCTGCAAACGAATGTACAGCTTTTTCTTTGGGAACGTTTGGCCCATCTTCATTTGTTTCAATGTTAGTTAATTAAAAGAGCCTAATTAAACAAATAAACGGAGCACAAAAGTCAGTCTGACTCACTTCAGGCAACGTTGAGCAAGATACACTTTGTCGTGTCGTCTTGGTGTCTGTCATCTTATTTCTAAACTTTATCTAGAGATCGCTGGCATGCACTCTATATGACGGAATAATTCTTTATATTCCGAAAATAGCTTATTTGTTTTCTTTACGCCTTCCTCTGTGAGAAAAATTTCTAATTAATCGATAGTATTACTTCTTTCTTAATAAAATTCCTGAAACATTCAGGAACCCTTCGGGTGTGCGCTCATTTTTAGATAACCTTATGTCTCTCTACGAGTTCTAGACTACATACTACAGTTTCAGACTACAAAGAGATGACTGCAAACATTAAAAGCGCAATAAAGAAATTATAGATTGCTTGGTTGACGTTATGTCTGATTAACATGTTAAAGTAACAATGGACGGGTGAAGTACTATAAGAAGTTTTGTTACTGAGATGATAACATCGCTATTAGAATCAAAAAGTTTTACTCTTTTAAGAAACGTTTATCAATTCACTCCGAGTTAGATATACACACGCAGCACATTCATAAGGAAATTATTCAAATTAAAAATGCCTACTCGCAGCCAGAGAAGCTTAGCCTAATTAGTGTATGATATATTTTTTATGAGGCTTGAGTTATAGTACAGATAAAATGTGATGCGATGGCATCTTGCCGTTATTATTTAGCAAGAGAGAGGATGAGGATGAAAGAAAGGCAGGTAGGTTGACCATGGCTGAGCCCAGTAGGCTACCTTGCACTGAGAAGAGGGAAAAGGAAAATAAAAGTGAGAGACAGAGAGCAAATTGTTGACAAAGGCAGGGCGACGAATTAGGTCACGTTCACGTAAATTTGGACAGAATGTGAATAACATGTGTGAACAGCTGCACAACATTGCTAATAATGTCATCAACAAGGCAAACAAATATTTAACATAATTTATCTTGATTTTACAGGCCGCTTTATCTTCGTAGAAAACAAAAACACTTCAAAGGAGACTGCACTTCTTAGGAGCCCCATGTTGAAGTTGATTGCGGCAGGCGGGGCTTGCTTTAGCTTCTGGTACTTTTCTGTTCACGACAAACACAGCGAGTGAGTATAACTGCAAGTGCAATCTGGGCACCTCTCTAGAATGCAAAGGTTGGACATGGATAGCTCAATACATTTCTGTGTGTGCGTTTTGTACGGGATATTATTTCGGGCTAACAAGTACATACGTTATATTTATCGGGACTTCGGCATTTTACGCTACAAAGCCTCAAGAGTTCGTTTTACCTGGGGTTTCACGTCCCTAAAGGCGGATTCACATGAGGGAACGGAGGAGGAATTTTCGCAGCGGACGGCGCATCGCGTGACGTGAGCGTCATCGAAACCTGCAGTCCTCACTTCATTCCGCTCTCCTACGCTCGTGGCACGGGTGGAAATGTGTCGCCGCTATATTCGATCCCTCCGTTTGACGATCGTCTGCTCTCAATGGAGAGGATTCAGCGTAAAATCTGTCGATTGGCATGACTATAGCAGGCAGCCGGCTTCAAATCCACGTGTTTTATACTCAGTAACGACTTTTCTTGGCACTGAAAAGAAAGCTATACGGAGGCGGAGCTTTTGCATTTGTACCATTGCGCAAAGTAGTTCGTTTTGGCACGTGTCTTGAAACGCTTTGGAAAGTTACGGAGGTGCCCCATCAGCATTTCGTGTAGACGCAGATGCCGCTTAGCGCTTGAGGTGCACGTAAAAAGGCGGCACTTCTCATGCGTTCAAAAACGCGAATTCACAACAGATAAATTAAAGGAAATACAGATGTCTTACTAGTGTCGACTGCTTCCTTCCTCAAATAGCTCCATGTAGAAAATAAAGGCGGAACATTTATGTTTCACGTTGAAAATATGGGTGATACTTTGGCCCAATCTGCACTGGCGGCACGATGCAAGTGATTTGGCTCCGTAACTTTCCCTTCCGTGCCAAGGAAAGTCGATATTATGCAGGAGAATTCCGAGAGCGTAGCTCCGGCTGTGTGCATGTGACGTGCCCGCTGCTGTGCCAGATTAAACTAGTCAAGTGACTATTCGGTCCGCGGAAGGTGAGATTTAGCTCTCGCGTGTGAATCTAGCTTAAACCACCGTATCAGGTTATGAGGGATGCTGTAGTGGAGGGCTCTAGAAATTTTGACCGTCTGGTGTTCTTTACCATGCACGGGGGTCCCAGCACACGTGCCTCTACCATTTCGACCGTCTGGTGTTCTTTAACATGCACGGGGGTCCCAGTACACGTGCCTCTACCATTTCGGCTCCATCGAAATGCAATCGACAAGGCCAGCATCGAACCCACGACCTTCGGTTAAGCAGCCGAGCCCCCTAGCCACTGTTCCACCGAGGCGGACAAAGCCTCAACCCCTGCAAGCTGTCTAAATATTTTCGACTATACTAATACATCATCTATGGTATACTTGGTTTGTTGCTCTATAGTTTTCATTATTTTGTATCTAGCGAATAAAGATAAGCGCACGAAATTCCCCTACTTTCCTCATTAAATTGAAGATAGTAATAGAAACCAGCTATACTAATGAGGGCACGTCCCAAAAGCAATGTAAAGGGGGTTCGGTCATGTGCTGCACCTTTTCAAACAGCCTGACTTAGGGGATGCTTTATGACACTGTTTGCAGAATTTCCGTGTTCATGGGAGAACAAGAACTCTTTTACACAATTACACGAACTGGCCACCGCTGGGAGCACACGCTGGCTAACTTCACCATACCAGAGGGAAGTGTCGAGGTATGTTTCTTTTTTCCTTTCAGGTATATGTATTTCGCACTTAAGTTATCGACGGCCGCACCCTATTCTTTACAACTTCTGTGCCACAAACCCTGCCGTCAAATCCCGCATCAATTTGGGGTCGATGCACCCACAAAAGATTGTGGGATGAAAATAATCATGAAATTAGGGAGCCCTCACAATTCGCAAAGACGTCTGACCAGCAAAAAGCATAACCTTTCTGAGATATTTGAGCCCCGTTTTTCCAATTAACTAGTGTTCTTGTTGCCGCTGACACCCTAGATGGGTGCGCGGCATGATCACACTACCTGTCAAAAGTGTGGTGCAACTTTCGCATTGCCTTTTATAGATGGCGTCACCACACCGCGTGTAGATGGTGCATTTTTGTGATCATCTTGGACATATTTTCCATACGTTAGCTACTGACACGTTCGCTGTAAAATTGCACACGTCGGCAGTAAACTTTAGAAAAGCTTATTTTGAGACATGAAACAGCCTAAAAACCTATGAAGGTTTCGCTCGCGAAACTGCGCCATTCGCACATGCGTGATACTTTTATTCTGATTTTATAGGGCAGTAATGTCACATGTGAAAAATATTAGATGTCATGAAAAATATTTTGTAGGGGTCAATCGTGAGACGGACGAAGATAGAGGGCAGATAATGACAAGGCATGCCGTATGATATGAGATTATGAAAGCCTGCTCAAATAGGTGCACTCTCCAGACTTTCGTCATGAGGTTGGCGCCAGGTGACCATTCCATCAGACAATGCAACGTGCAGTGGAAGGCACGGGCAATAAACAAATGACACAATTGTCACAGTTGTATAGCTCTCATGACACAATCATGAGAGCTATATTAAACCTGTCATCAAAATCTGGAGTGCCTAAAGTCGTATTACCATTTAACACTACATGCCTTACTCCCAAATGTATGACGATAGACAGCAGCCACACTAAACTTTTAGCACTAGCCTAAATTCAACAGCTTGTAGTATTTCTTTTTGGCAATCTTAAGCTACAACTTCTGCTCCGGTGATTATAATGTTTTTGGGAGCATGGACCCCCTTTCTCGATTCCTTGTATATGGTGTACGAGATGAACTCATCTTCCCGAATTTATGAAAAGTTCTTAGCATATCTGATATTCATTGCGATGCGTGTAACGTGGTCAGGGGGCTTGCATAGCCTCCAGAGGCCCAGAGTGAATGCAGAACCATGGAGTCCTTAAACTTTCATAAATACTTTTTCTGAGTGTAATGATGAAAGGCGTTGCGCTGTTCTTTTTCTTGTTATTTCATTATGCATGGCCACCTGTGTTGTCTATAGTTTTCAACGTTGATACCATGGGGAGGGGGGGGGGAGAAAAAGCGGGTCTTTTTTAGGGAACAAAAATTACAGTATGCACAGCATGTTTTTTTCATTCCCTAATTCTTAAGAAAACAAATTATAGCAAATGCAAGAATTTATAGAGAAGTATATCCTTATTTGAGACGGCTGACATAAGTCATCCACGCTAATTCTCGCCATCTCCACCGATCTTGGAAAGGGGAGAAACTGAGTGACTATGACCATATTCGTTAAATGGCAACAATGATTCCAATAGCAGCTAAAAACGTTCTTCCAAGCAGAAGACAAGTTCTTCGAAATCCATTGCACGGTGTGTTCCATTCTACAATATGCTGAAAAAATTTCCCATTGCTGCGTCTCAGGAGGATAGTGATATGCTTGGATGTATAGAGTTGGTAAAATTTAGACGGTAGCTAAATCGAGCACGTTCGAGGTTTAGGCTTGTTCTGTGTATTGACTGACACAATGCGTGCTTTCACTTGAATCAACACAATTGATCATTGAAAGTTTCCGTAAATGCACGTGAAAAAGCCCAAGTACGTTTTGCTATGCTGAATGCTTCCCTTATAGTTGGTGGGATCACGTAACAGGCTTTAAAGAATTCGCGTTTCGCCCTAATAGTGACCATTCCTACCTCTGCAGCTGGAAATCCGGGCTTCCATAAAACGAGGTATGCTTGCTCTAGACGACCTACAGTTGACTGCTGGACCATGCCCTCAGCGAGGTTTGTTCTCTCTTTTTCTTCAGTATAAATGGCATTGTAACTGTCATGATCATAAATGACATTTTAACCGTCAGCGGACCTTGCTTACACACAGTATGTAGTATGACTTGTGAATACATTTTCATTTTTCTGTGGGAACCCTATATTTGGCATGTTTTCGGCAGTATTCGTAAAAGTTACGGAGCCTTTACAAGCCATCAAGATGAATGCGATGGGCCGCAGGTTTTTCAGTAGAGAGAACATGTCTATTGCTTTGACGGACTAGTTTTCATTGAGAGGGCTTAAGTGAAGGCTTAAATTGTATGCTATCTGATGTGCTCAGTACCTCAAAGTAGCCTAAGCGAAATTCTCTAAAGCACTACGGTCTTCAATCACTATATCAGGAGCTGATAGCGTCTGCATACACTGCACTCACTAGCCAGATAAACAACTCACATGGCACACTTCAATGTTTCGCAGTCCTCGCCATCTTCTTCTGCCTGAAAAAACCACTGATGGCGAAAGATTTTTTTTGTATTATTTACAGTAATTTTTTGCCTTGCATCTCGTAAGGCCGAAGATAAATCTCAAATGCTTTACGCATTGTGTATATAAGGCTAGCATTGTTAATTCAGAGCGATTATCTGTCAGTTTGAAACGCCCGCCTAAATACCGCAACAAACTAGCACCTGCGTCTACGAGGCAGCGCAAGCGACTACGGGCATGCGCCCAAGGTTCTGTGATGCTGAACGAGCCGTTTTCAAATAGGGTGTTGCAGAATATCCTCATTCCGCGGATATTCTGCAACGGAATATCCTATTCGCCGCGGTGCTCTAGTGGCTAAGGTACTCGGCTGCTGACCCGCAGATTGCGGGCTCAAATCCCGGCTGTGGCGGCTGCATTTCCGATGGAGGCGGAAATGTCGTAGGCGCGTGTGCTCAGATTTGAGTGCACGTTAAAGAACCCCAGGTGGTCGAAATTTCCAGAGCCCTCCACTACGGCGTCTCTCGTAAACATATGGTGCTTTTGGGACGTTAAACTCCACAAATCAATCAATCATGGAGCGGGCCAGACTATCGAAGAAAACGAAGTGGGGACAGGCACGCTCTAGAAAAGAACAGCTTGGGCTCTATGACGAATGAACGAATCACCTCCGATTAACGTCTTCGGACCAGTTATGTTGTTACGCTTGTTGCACGAAACCCGGAATCCGCCCCTACGAAGACTCCCCTGAACGCTACGACAGTTGCGACCACTGGTCATTTTCGGAAGAAGCACGGCTCGATCAGAACTGGTGTTACCTGAGCCCTAACACTGTTATTGGACCTGGTGGAGAAACCATATCCTAATCCCTCTCAGATTACCTGCCTCATAGATTTCCTGAAAGATAAAGAAGCGGCCCTTTCCAGACTCGACGACGTCATTCTGGCAGCCACGAAAAGGAAAGAGCAGACTGGTACAACGCAAACATTCTTTACACCATGTGATAAGCCAAGTTCTGGCGACAGGAACGTGAGAAGGCAGCCACAACCCAGGCACGAGTCACTGGACTCGGGCCAAGCAAACTAGAACTTCCGAACTCTGGCAAAGCAGCAGGGCAGATGAGAGCGCACCATCCCCTTGCGGTCCAACCGCCAAGCTCCAGATACCAACTGTTGATGGTAGTCTTTGTGGATGGCAGTCCTTTTGTGACCTTTTCGACGCTACCATTCACAAGAATACCGAGCTACAGCGTGTCGAAAAAATGAAATACCTCCTCACCTACCTAAAAATGAGCGCTAATTGAGCTGTCGAAGGCATCTGTTTAGAAGAGCAAAATTAACACCTTGCGAATAAAACCCTCACCGATCGCTTTGGACGCGAGGATCTCCTTGTGAACGAACATGTTGATAATTTCCTTGCACTAAGCCCTGTGAAAAGTTCGTCAGATACCCGAAGGTTTCCTCTACTGCACGATTGTGTGCAGTTCCACGTTAGTGCCTTGTAAGGCCTAGAAGTAGCACCCGACCAGTACGTGTTCTTAAACTGTGCACTGATACGACGTCTGCCGGAGGATTTTGCCATTTCGTACAAGCCGAAATTCAAGAAATCAAACTGCGCCTCCAGCATCGCCGGAACACCTGAAAGCTGAACGTGGCTAGCCAAGGAGTTATAACGTTTCTCCACATTCAAGTAGAAATCCGGTAGAAGGGCTGGTTACAGTCTCGTTGTGCGTCACAAGACGAACCCAGGAGCTCCGTATCCGAAGAAATGTATGGCACAGAAAACATACCGTAAGTGTTCACCTTAACAGACTCTACCTTGCCCGTGGGCACGCTGATCTAATAGATCAGCGTGCCCACTCTGCCACAGCAAGGATCAAATGATCGCTGCCTGCAACGCCAACCTATCTCGTGAAGAGAAGCGGGCAAGGTTACAGTACACCATTTGTTGCTTCTGCTGTGGAACACGAAACCATATCGCCAGATTGTGCAAAAAACCAATCTTAGGTGTGGTACCTGCAAGTGACACTACCTGACTATTTTCTGCGAACTATCCAGGTCAGCGGGACATCCACGGTCAAAAGATTAGTCACCCTCATCACCCGAAACCCCGTCAGTTATCATGCGAACTGTTACGAAGGCCCAAATGAGTTACATTGAATCTACTCCTGTATTATTTCAGACAGGCATAATTTGGGCGGATTTCGGGCACTGACGACTCCTTGTGCGATTACTGTTGGAGTTGGATAACAGCAGTCAACACTCATATTCGTGCAGACATGTCGAAAATTTTTAAGTGATCCGTCGCGTGAAAAGAAGAGCTATCTCTCGTCAAGTTTGGTGACTCAAGGTTATTGAGACAAATCTGCACAGAGCGTGTGTACGTGCGACTGCGGAGCCAGTTCAACGACTTCGCAATAACCGTGGAAGCATTGACGATTCCGGAAATATGCACCGCACAAGCCCACCACTCGTCCCCAACATTTTGCACTGACTCGACGAACGGTGGTACAATGCAGCTGACAGCTTTCAACCAAAAACGTGGTTAGCGCATGATATCAGTGTCATCACAGGATCCGGCGCCTATTGGAAGGTCACCACCAGCAAAATCGACCACGTAAACAAAACGATGACGGCCATAGAGACAATGTTTCGCTGCATCGTACAGGGATCCTTGTCGTCTGACCGCAACCAGCGCCCATAACGCGCACTGTTAGTCTTGAGCCGCAATCCTTTGCAACGCGCACAGACATATATTCAATATGGCGCTTTGGTGCCATCAAGAGAGATAAAGTGCCTTCACGAATCCCAAACAAGCACCACAATCTATCTGTATGGAAGCAAGGTATCTCCTAAGGAGAGAAGTGCCATCAGCTTGACTACGCGGTTGCTGACGGCAGGAACTTGAAAGAGGCGGAGCCACTGAACAAGCACGTCGATCCTCATCAGTGCCGTGTGCTTCGACGCCGTTAGCGCCAGCGTGTCCATGGTGACGCCGTATTGACTCGTCCCAGAACAACAGCCACCTTTTGGGTGACCACCACGACAGGCATTGCATCTTCGTATTTCTGCATGCCATGCACGTCAGCCTAACGCCCGTCAAAAACACCCTCCATCTCATCAGCATCGGTTCCGAACACGGCAAGGGGTGCGACAGCCACGAATCAACGGCCGTAGTGCACAGGCAGTCTTGTTAGCAAAGCAAGAGCATTTCAACACAAAGTGTGCTCTCGGTGAATACGAGTCTCCTTGCCCCCTTGGGATGATGTTTATTAATAATCCGGATTGGAGCAGCCTGGAGTGGTCCAGACTTCATCGATTCGTGCGAGTCATCTTGACTCCGCTGGGAGTATATGTTGCAGAATATTCTCTTGGGGAGGGCCAGACTATCAAAGAGAATGAAGTCGGGACAAGATCGCTCTAGAAAAGGACAGCTTGGCCTCCATGACGAATCGACGGGTCATCTCTGATTAACATCTGTGTACCGGTTATTTCATTAGATAGGGGACACGTGAGTGGTGAATAATCAAAGAATATGGGTGCTTTGAGCACGTTCCTTCTGAAATAATATGACAGCATATCCACGGGATGATTAAGAGTGGAGCGAAGCTGGGTCTGCAAGCTGCTGCCACGCCGCTTCGGCCTCCCGTTCTCGTACGCCGGAATCTTGTCGGTGCCGCCGCGCAGCTTGACGGCACGCTTCTGCCTCGCACGTTTGCGCATAGCTGTTCGTCTTCGAGTATGAGCCACCGCCGCTTTGCACGCACGCCGCTCTGCAGGCTTATCCATCCACCGGCCTTTTGAACGCACGCGTGTGCCGAAATGGCTTATATTTTATATATTTATTACACCTTTCCCCATAGCTTACGGCGCCATCCACAAGCACGCAATCTCGAACGTGTTCGTGTCCCGTCATTCCTATTTTGTCGTGCGCCCGCACATCGGGGTTCCGTCTTCCTTGTGTGTATCATACTTTTTATCGACAAACCATGAATCATCCGCTGGCTGCGTCCATTCATCATTTGTATGTCTGTCTGTTTGACGCATGGACGCAAACACGGACGGACGGACAGACGCATGGACAAACGCAGGGACGGACGCACGGACGGACGAATGGACGCATGGATAGATGCAGTAACGGATGCCCGAATGGATGGATGAGCACATGATTGAACGTACGAGAGGACGGACGGACATAACCACGAATGGACCGACGCATGTATAAAGGGACACATGCATGGATGAACAGATGGACGCAAGGAGGGATGGAGAGATGGACGTACGAACGGATGGATGCATGTACGCATGCACGAATGAACGGACGCACGGATGGACGGAAACAAGAACGAATGAACGGCTAGTAGCACAGACGGAATGGCGAACGCTTCGCCCCACTCGTTATCATTCACTCCATCAATATGCTGTGATTTTTATTACTTATCATACTACAAGTAACGTCCTCTAGTATCATACGATTTGGATTTTTCAGCTTATATGCATGTCGTGTTATGTACATGTACCGCCCTCTACGGCCGGTTC